GTCAAAAGCAACAAAATGTCTGTCTGAGAAAGACGTCCTCTGCAGTATGGGGGAATGACTCGGCACAGGAATCCAGAGGTGTGCCCTCTGAGCTCTATCTCAAGACCCCACAACCCTAGATTCTCCTCACACAGCTCTAGTCCTCCCTCTGCTGGAGCCCAAGGTGAGTGGCTACACAGGAAACTTTGTGGGCTGGCTCTTTAAGAGGGTGCCTGCATTTCCAGCAGTCTCTCCCTGGCCGACAGAAACCCGGCTGCTTTTCGCAGCTAGATGTTATGTGGGCACCTTTCTCAGTTCTGGTGCTCTGGGCTGGGAAGCCTAGCTTGAGGTTTAGGCCCCAGAGTTCTCAGCGGGAACCCTCACAGCTGAGATCTCCCTCCGGACCTTCAGCTGCTGCCTGTGGGGGCCCAGCCAGCCCTCTCAGGCCTCCGTACTTCCTACCAGTCTCTGTGTGGTCCCCACTTTTCCTCCTTGGTTATGAGGGTGCTCCCCAGCTTGTCTTCAGTTGCAGTTGGTTATTCAGGATGGTTTTTCTATATTTTAGTTGTGATCCCAGTTTGGTCCCAGGAGAGTGTCAGTGTGGCTTTCATTTAGTCCACCGCCATCTTCAATCTTTGACTGACAACTTCTTGAAAAAAGTACATTTTAAAAAGTACATTGTCTTGGTGCTTGGGTCATCCATGTGATTAAATTAACCCAGTAATACTGTTAAAACCATTTAAAAAATATACACCAACAGAATTGTGATGTTTTCATTCTTTATTTTAAAAAAGACAACTTAGAGATGAGTGGATAAAAAAGCTGTGGTACATTTATACCATGGAATACTATGCAGCTGTAAAGAGGAAGGATCTTTTATCCTTTGGCAGAGCATGGAAGGAACTAGAAAGTATTATGCTAAGTGAAATAAGCCAGTCAGAGAAACACAAGTACCACATGACCTCACTTATATGTGGAATATAATAAACAAAATAAACTGATGAACAAAGTGGATCCAGAGACATAGAAGCATGGAACAGACTGAGGGATCTCAGAGGGAAGGCGGGGAGGGGGGTGTGGGTGGGGAGAGATTAATCAAAGAACTTAAATGTTTATAAGCATAACCCATGGACACAGACATTGGTATGGGGAAGGCCTGGGGGTGGGATGGATGTGGGGTGGAGGGGATCAGTGGGGATAAAAACAGGACATCTGTAATATTTTCAAGAATAAAGATAAAGAACCTTAAAAACAACAACAAAATTCTTAATATTAAAAAAAAATAATACAACTTAGTATAAAACATTCTCTGAACATACAAGCGGGTTAAGATTTAGATTTTTAATTTATTAAATACATTTAAGTTGCCAGGGCCAGATATATACATAATGTTACTCAGTTATCACACAGCAATAGGAAGCATTATGGGTTTTAATCAGTGTAGAAAAAGAATATCACAGGAAGGTACTCCTTTGTTTTTATACTGCTTTTTAAGTTTTACTATAAATAAGTGACAGGTGTATAAGCACAAAAGCCTTAGTCTCATACCTAGAAATTTCATTTAGATTATTTAAACCAATTTCCAAAACCTTATTAATAAGAAAACCTAGGACTGGATGGATTAAATGATTTAATTGAGAACACTAAAAAAGAACTTAACGGCAACCTACTAAAATATTCACTTGCATGTCAAGTTCACACATCTTGTGGCATTTACAGAGTTATTAAGTTCCTTTCACAAGGAAAGTCATTCAGTCTTTTCTTTCTCAGGGTTCTCTGACCATTTACATAAATAACTCTTCCAGTGGAATGCAATGAATGCATCAGTCAGTGGCCTGGAGAAGTTAATGCTGGAAAGTCAGAAAAATGTAAATGAGCGTTTATACATATGTACCATTTCACTTTTCTTAATGAAAAAAAAATTTGTATTGATTTATGCATTAAAAGATGAATGTGAGTGTTATTGTATATATCTATGTTTATATCTATGTCTATGTATACATGTGTCTGCATGTAAATAGGTATGTATGCAAGGCATTTCTTTCCAAGTACACACTTTACTATTGTGACTAAAAATATCATCATCATTATTGTATTACCATCTCTTGCTTATTCAGCAATGAAGGAAATGATAGGATTTAGTTTATTTAAAAATGAAAATAGATTCAGAAATTTAAGACAAGAAAAGAACTTAGATTTCATCTATGATATTGAAAGCCTTTCATTTAACAGCACAATTATTAAAATATAATAGAATAGAACTCCAAATCAATTAACTATAAGAATTATGCTAACATACAAAAGCAAGCATGAAAGAAAATATTTGTTCTTCATTTTGAAATATTAACGAATAGGTGTATTTTCCATCGAGTCCCTGGGCTCATTATGATGAAAATTTCTTCCTGAAATTGTACAATTTAGGAATGTATATAATACATTAGCATGTACAATTTACATGTTAACTTTTCACTTGACTGAAGTCTCATGTCTTTTAGTTCTTCCAAAATTTGTCTCGGTGAGCAGGTTCTCATTATCACTCTTCTGTAGAAGAATTATAAAGAAAAAGACAAAACAATAGTATGAGACAGAGTTATATTGAAATACAACAGGGAATTAATGCATAAAATGAACTTCATAATTCTACGTTCTTAGTGTTGTTCTTACATATAATTGTTGGGAAAGGAAAGGAATTTCCTTGCAGGTTAGCTTTACTAGAGTTATGTGCAAAGATACAGAATTTCTTAGAAATTCCGTTCTAAATACTTTAGGTAAGGAAGAAACATAATTGCTCTGCTCCTAGTTTCTACAGAGATGAGAAACTAGCATAGAACTTGTGCAGGGGAAGAATGCAGTGGGAAGGCAATAAGTGATAAGTGAGCTGAACTACCTATGTGTAACTTCAAGAAGGTAAGGTGAGCTCCCTCACCTGGAACCTCTCTTGGGAATAACTTTGCTTCTTGGAGATAAACAAGAAGTCTGTACGGAAACTCACTGCTAAATTCCTCTCTGATTCTAGCATGTGGGTCTCCTCCATCAACGGCAATGGGCCATCTTTCTTGGTTGGAAGGCTGGGTTGGTGGTACTCCCGTAGGGTGTGTGAGAGGGATGGGAAGAGCCTTTGCCCTCGTGGAAGCAGGGCATTTCCCAGTGTTCTTCCATTTGGGTTATCACAGGAACTGTGCATCCCCAGCATTATCCAATGAGAACTGGACTGCCGTGGGCAGCTGACTCAGATGCACTTATTCTCATTTCCCACCAAGCATAAACCATGTGCAAGTTCAAGGAGGTTGAAGCAATCCAAACGCTCTATCCTAACACCTCTACTCTAGTTCCTGGTGGCATGAGCGCTCTAATTTGCCTTTGGTTTGTAAATGACATTAGACTAAAGCATTGTAAAATAATCTTACATGTTTCTAATGTTTCCTGTGAGGTGGGATCAGATTTTATAACCTATTTCGCTACCTTGCTAAGACACATTTAATAACTTCATTTGCACAAATACGGGGGAATGAATGAGCCTAAAATTTGGTTCATCTGACTTTTCACTGCCTTTACATATACCTGAGACATGAACAGAGAACCGAAGCATTGACCTTGCTAACGCGGAAATGCACAACTCCTTGGATGCATCGCAGTTTGTGTTCTTCCCTGTCTTTGCTCATGCTGCCCAACCGCCTTGCCTGAGAACAGCCATTCCCCCTTGGAGGCTGGGCCCAGGTAATTTCATCTCCAGAGGCCTTTGCTACCTGCCCAGTGTCTTTCAGATGCTATCGCCTCTGCTACCATAAAACGCCTTCACTGCCACGACTGCATTCCATCTCTTTCCCCCACTAGGCCCTCAGCTTCTAAAGGACAGAGACTCATATTGGTGCCCAGCACACAGGGAGCATTGATAAATGTTTGTTGCGCTTAAACTTACAAGGGTATTTTGATGCACTTGGGTGGATTAAATTGTCCCAAATCTTTATGCACTAGTCCACAAAGAGGCTCAAGATTGTACGGAAGAAAAAAAAAAATGGTAGAGGGAATGCTGAACACTAACTTTGTCACTAGAACAGAGGAGTAGCTAAAAGAATATATGAAAATTGAAGTAACAAAAAATTAGGCTTTGGGTGGTGATTGTTCCATTTTAAAAACAGGGTCAAAACTTTTTTTTGAAACAATGCAGAAAGTAAATAAAATAAATATGTTATAGATCTTTGTTCCAGCTGCAAGTCCTGTAACAAGGTAATCTTAGTAAATGAAATGAATCTGGTACAGGACTCAAAACTCAAGCTGTTTTAAGTATCAGGAGATAGGATTTTAAGAATCCTTTTAGCTGAGAATTATGTATATGTCCTTCACTCTACAGAGCATGAACTTCCTAGGACTAAGTAATTATGTAACAAACGGCCTTCAGCTTTAAGAACCCATGTGATGGGGCAACTCCTGCATATAGGTTATGTAGCTTTGGTAAATCTTTAAAAATCTCTTACTTTTTTCCTGATTCCGTAAGTCTAGAAAACCTAGTGAGCCCTTTGAAGACAGGGGCTTGGTCCAGGGTTAAAACTAGAATCTGGACATTACAGGACCTTGCTTCTGTCGTGATTTATAATATTTGCAGGGAAACTGTCCATCGGTGTTGTAGAGGCAGAATCAGATCCTTTTGCTTGAGCATTGAAGCCCATTCCACAGAGACTTTTTCTTGGTGGACATCTCCCAAAATAGATGCCACTTGGGTTTATGCTTCAGACAAAGTTTAATAGGAACTAGATACTCAATTAGTGAGGTTATCTAAGAGGCCATAGTGCACGAAATACATGAAACTGACTAAGTATTTTAATAAATATTTGAGGCATCAGTCACTACTCAGCTCGTATGAGTTGCTCTCATGCTGGTAGGGAGGCTTCAACATTGTTCAAACTTACATTTTTTTCTGTAAGGGAGTACCAACATCTGGATGATTTTTAATGTAAAATCTCCTACTTCTTAAGGCTGGCAAAAATGCTCTTTTTAAAAAACACTGTGTGGATCAATACTGTTCTAGATGAACAAACTATACTTAGAGTTCTCCATGTGTTGTGTATTTACTTAGCAGCTGGGAACGAAAGGAAAACTCCTATGGCCAAGAACTGTTCTAGATGCTGTACTTGTAGCTTAGGTATGCCTCATGAAACTCTGTAAGGTTGACACTGTCATTATATCCCTATTAAATTAAATTATCTCTGTGTTAACTATCATTATCTCCATAGGAGTAGCTTGCTCAATGCTGTAAGTGTTGGAGTATGGATTCAAACCCAGGTCTGGCTCCAGATCTGGGGCTATTCAACGACACCCAATGCAGGATCTCCTTTATATAGCTTTACAGTTTGGAAAATAAGTGCACAAAAGAACTTTAGTTTTGTTTTACTTACAATGTTTATCTTACTTTTTTTTAAAAGATATTTTATGCCTAAGGGAGAATTTCATTGTGTTCACATAAAAAAAAAATCTAACAGAAGCAGCATTGATGAAATAGACTATAAATGAATCCTAATTTGGCACACCCTTCCCAAATCAGAAAGAAGCAACTCATCCATTTATTTCCCTTCCCCAAAGGCAATAGGCAATAAGAACAGTCACACCAACCTGGATTTCCTGTTTCGACAGAACTTAAAGGAACGTCTGTGTCATGTGAGAGTGAAGGTTGTATATCCACTGAACGTTTCTGTAAGTAAAAAGCAGAAAAATATTAATGTCAAAATTTTCTAAAGTTAAGACACTGTAAAGAAAAAGGCCTTAGATGAAATGTTTTGGGGGGCTAAAGTTGTTCTCTTTTGGTTAAAATTCATTTTGTAGGGTCCTCTTCCTCCTTCAAAAGTCATTATTTCATAGTTATTTACAAACTTCAATATAAACTTATGTTTGTACTTCTAAATAGTATTTGTCATTTCCATAGCTGAATTATTACCTCAGACATCGACTCTGTCTTATTTCCCTGCTATAATAAAAAGCTAAAATGGAAAAATGTTTTTAAGAAGAGGTAAAATCTCTTAGTCGTATTGACCATGACCCAGTTCTTCTGTGTTCATAGAGAAGATTTTCTGTGACTTTTGTCAACTAAGTATTTCATTGAATTTTTAGGTTTTAGATCACTAACTAAGAGAGAAGACAAAAGCACAGTCTGTCATAGATGCTCAAACAAGAAGATATTTTCTCCTCAATATTTACACTACAGACAGGAGGAGCCTGCCTATATTCAAGTCTTCACAGAATCTCTCATATTAGAGCAAACATTCCATTACTTTGATTTTGTTAAGAAAGTATTATTTAGAGAAGATCCATTTATATGGAGTAATGATATTCAATCATAGCTTTAGATGGTTCTCACATAAAAGAAGCAGTTAAAAAAAAGGCAAAGGAATTTAGGGTAGATTTTACCATCAATCTTGCTATAGAATTTTTATTTAATGAAAAAAATTGATTCTAGCCTGGCCAGCATGGCTCAGCAGTTGAGCATCAACCCACAGTGCAGGAAATCGAGGCTCGATTCCTGGTTGGGGCACATGCTTGGGTTGCAGGCTCGATCCCCAGTAGGGGGTGTGCAGGAGGCAGCCGATCAATGACTCTCTCATCACTGATGTTTCTCTCTCCCTCTCCCTTCCTCTCTCTGGAATCAATAAAGACATATTTAAAATAAATGAATAAATAAATAAACAAATAAATACATTCTAGAAAGAGGAAGAGAGAGAGAGAGACATCCATTGGTCACCTCCCTCACATGTCCTGATCAGTGTACCAGGGTTTTGGGTTTGATTCCCGGTCAGGGCGTATGTGGGAGGTGACTGATTCTTTCTTTCTTTCTTTCTTTCTTTCTTTCTTTCTTTCTTTCTTTCTTTCTTTCTTTCTTTCTTTCTTTCTTTCTTTCTTTCTTTCTTTCTTTCTTTCT